TTGTGATTGGCTGCTGTGCTGACATAACCTAGCTTTCTCTACAAATAGAGGAAGATCTAGCATCCGATAGAGACTTCAAGGACTGCTAGTCTCTCAACTTTCTCTCACGGACGTGAGTTGCACTAAGCCATTTATAGTGCTTCTAATTTAACTGTTTATTTCTTGTATTGTATATTTCTCTGTATACGATTTAACATTTCATTTCTCGTTATATATCTAATTATCTTTATGATTTAACATTTCATTTTTCGTTATATATTATATTTATAAATAAATATATTATATTATCAGGAATTTGGTTTTATCTCTCTAGAGAACCCTGTCTAACACAGGGAGATACCATGATCACGAAGGTGGTTTTCCCAGGGCGAGGCTTATCCATTGCACTCCGGATGTGCTGACTCCTGCGATTTCCCCAAATGTGGGAAACTCGACTGCATGATTTGTGGTAGTGGGGGACTGCGTTCACGCTCTCCCCTTAAAAAAATAAAAATAAATAAAATAAAAATTTTTAAAAATTAAAATAAAAAAAATCGGAATTTACAAATTAGTAAATAAGTACAATTGAACCCTCCAGCACCATGCTTATTGGTTGACACATCCCTGCATTTGTGTAAGAGCAGAAAAGAATGCTTGAGGCCAGGACACAGTAGAGGGGAGATCCACAAGAGACCTGTGATAGCCCTTGGACATGATGTTATTTATCACCTATAAACATTTATAAACCACTTTATTTTGCCAGCTACTGTGAATCAGACACAAATGATTTAAAAGTTTACTGAACTATGCTAGTTATTCCTGGTTAGTTCCTTACATTTCGGTAAAATCCGAGAGAGAAGACGGCTCCAAATACATAATTAGCAATGTGAGTTCCTTGATGGGTTAGATTTGGGTTCAGTTTAGGGTTTTAGGGTGCTAGAGTCAGAGTCTGTACTTATGATTGGAATCTAGGTCCTCGGATAATGTTCCCTGTTCAAGAATAAGAGTCAGTGGATAGAAACAGAACATAAGTGTCATGAGTTAAGAGTCAGATGTTGGTGGACAGATTAAAGGGCTTTATGTTTAGAATGTGTCCTGCCTACCAGCTTATGTTTGGAGTTGAGTTGGGGCTTATGTGTTATGGTATAAAGCTGTAGCGTTATGGTTTGCAAGTTTGGTTTCTGAATTTGAGACATTGGATCATAAAGTTAGAATTAAGATAATAGAATATATTCAAAGTTGTGTTCCTGATTTAAAGAATGGGAATAAATGAGTAAGGCTGGTTTTAGAGTGTATGGTGTTAGGATTTGTTAAGCAAATCCTAATTTTTTTTTAATTGGTTGTGGGTATCAAGGAATGTTTAGGGTGTAATAGACATTCTGGATGATAAGGAGCTTTTCAAGTAGTTAGGGGTTGAGTGTTTTAAGAGATTATCAGGGTGTTGTGAGGTGACCCGTCCCACGGGCCATTAAACAACGTGGATACCTGAAAGAGGGACTGGGAATGAAGAGGGGCAAGAGACGCGAGAAATGGAGGCAAGACAGGAGTCTGATTAAGCCTCGATTTATTGAGCAGAAGGCAGGGGCTTAAATACCCTATGGTGGGCGGGTAACAGTACATCATATGCTAATAAAGTGTAACGAATAATATCCAATAATCACGCAGCTACCAAATACGGAAGAAATGGCAGGCATCAGTCCTCAAACAGGTCCGCATGCAAATGAGGTGCACTTGGATGCCTGGCGGAGGTGTCCAATGAGCATGGCGGCTGCCTTCCACCAAGCACCAATCATCACAAAGGCCAAACTCAGGCAGGACAATAGGCCAGGGAACATCCAGGAACGGGGAAGCTTAAAGACAGCGGACGGCGCAGGCCATGGGCTGAGAGACGTGCAGACTCCCACATGTGCAGACTCCCACAGTGAGGATGTTCAGCATACTAAGGTGTACATTTAATGGTTTGGGAGTTTTTGATTAGCAATTAATGGTTAGTAAGTAAAGTACCAAAAGTTATTTTTGTGTGTTGAAATGTATCTTACTGTGTTTTTATATTTATTAGCTATTTATGGCATATCTTGACTATTTTATGGATATGATCATTAATTTATGATTAGAGGAATTTTTATTTCTTTTTTGGAAGCCTCTTTTCTTCCTTTAAAAAAAAATCTTATTCTGATTGCTCTAGTTAGAACATACAGGCATTTTTTAATATCAGTAGTGAAAGTGGACATTTATGTTTGTCCTTTTCCTGAGGTGGGGTGATGTTTTTTGTCTTTCCTTTAAATGTGACATTTTGACTTAAATAAGAATGTATATTAGCATATTAACATATTGAACTATATCTGTTTCATGTTAGATTTGTAGAGGGTTTTTTTTAGCATGAAAAGCCTTTGATTTGTTTAGTATGTTTTATGTATCTATTTATATAATCAATTCTTTTTTTTTGCATTATTTGCTATTATTCCAGTGCTTATTTTCTTATGTTAAATCAACTCTGGGACAGATTCCAATTAATCATGGTATATTAATTATTTTAATGTGTTGTCTGACTCAGTTCCCAATATTTTTAAGAACTTTTTTCATGTAGATCCATTTTCAATCTTGGTCTACAGTTTTCTTGAAGTATTATTATCTGACCTTGGTATCAGGTTATTACTGGTGTCATAGAAAATGTTAGTAATGGACTCTCACAACCATTGTTATGTTTGTACCCAATAACTTGAACTTAACAACCAAAAAAGCGAAGTGTTTATTCATACTGTGTGAATACTTTGTTGTCTAGCTGCCAGAATCTTCAGCTTTAATCTGTCTTACAGTTAGCCTTGAAGTTTCTCGTGGAATTTAATTTTGATTCAATTGATCATAGACCTTCTTAGCATCCTGAAACCCATTCAACTCTCATAGATCACTTGCTCTGGTTGGATCCTCTTTTCTTGCAGCTGACCGCTCAGTGAAGAGTGATAAATGACTTACATTACTTTTGATAGGCAAATAGTCACACCTGAACAACTGTGTGCTGCCCTCACACTTGAGCCTGTTTGGGAAATACTCTGTCATAAGACATGCTGGGTGGATCTTAGAGAATTTCCTTCAAGTTACCTCCAGGAGAATGGTGTAAATCAATGAGGCACAGGAATTCCTCAGTGGTTTTGTCATCACTTAGTTCTACCATTATTATTTTTAAAATCATTTTATTAGGGGCTCTTACAACTCATCACAATCCATCCATCCATCCATTGTGTCAAGCACATTTGTACATTTG